ACATCCGTAGGTAAAACATTACTTGTTTCCGAAAAACAGAGTTTTAAAGTTGAAAATCAAAAATTATAAATAGCTACAATTTTTTTATTACTCAGTTTAATTTTACTAAATTCGGCAAACGTTATTGGTGTAATAAAATACATCTATCAGCAAAAAATAAGTTAAATAAGCTTTGCCAGTGGCGTACGTCATGGGCCAGTAACATCTTTTTCCTTCTAAATTTTAGTCCACGTCCACTTTTGATGTTTTTTAAATAAAGTTGAGTTAGTTTTTGAGATATTCGCACATATTAGAAAATTCTGTAGTTTTTAAATTTCAATTTTTTTTTTATTTCATTTCTAAGAGTACATTATTTATTTTAAAAACATCAAAAAATTTTAAATTTTATGTCCAAATAACATTTTGGATAGTGACGTAAAATTTAAGAGGTATGCGGTATAACGTACGAATGCTGTACGCCACTGGAAAAGTTAATTAAGGTAACTTATTTTTTTGCTGATAGGTGGATAATTTGACACCAAAAACGTTTGCCAAATTTAGTAAAATTGTTGTGAGTAATAAAAAAAATAAAGCAATAAATATTTTTTGGATTTTAACACCTTAACTCGGTACCAAGAAACATTTTATCTAAGCATGATTTGTTTAGTTGTCTTATTTTTAATCAGAGAATCGTCAGTTGTTCTATATCCCATTCTTAACGAAACACTATGTATAGTATAAGTGGTCCCTACGTAATGATACGAAGACCGTTGTCCTTTGTTGATTGGACACAAGAATGAACTACTAAACAGCGTTGGGTTTTTAGTAGCAACAGCTTGTACTGAAATTCAGATCGTGATTGTACCAGAACGTACTAGATTTGGCGATAAATTTCAAATGAGAACACAAACTCATTTTAAACCAAAAAATAAATAAAATGGGTATAACAAAAATATATTCTTACGTTGGTAAATAAAAAATTTAAAATGAAACCAAAATAAACTTTATTTTAAACAAAAAAATATAAATTAAAATACGTAAAACAAAAATATATTTTTATATGGTTAAATAATAAAATTTAAAAATAAAAACAAACACTTATTTTTTATAGAAAAACAAATAAAATAAGGGTAAAAATTAAAAAATATTTGTTATGTCAATAGATTTACAATAATTAATCTATAATAGACTGTAAGTGTAGTATTCTTTTTAATAAATAATTTACCGTAATTAACAATGTTTAAATTTATTTACTAGAACATGAAAGTGTAGTCGATATTTATCAGGTTTTTAAATTTCCCGCTGGGTTATTTGTTTGATATCGATGATAGCGACACATAGTGGGCCAGATGTTAACTGCGTTCGAGCTGGTGGTTGTTAAGCATATGCTTAGGAGCGTATCTTATATTTATGTCCCTTATATGAAGACTCATACTCCCTTATCTCTTACCCATTATTTTCAAAGTATGGGAGCACTCATTTCTCTCAAGATTCTCATCAGAAATGTCGTACGTCAATGTGGAAACGCTGTTTTAAAGGCCTCGAGGATTAAAATTCTTACGAGAATTTGTATTCCCTCTAAATAAACCAAGAGAAACAATCTGTGAGTTCACACTGGCCCCAAGGGCCCTTAAAATACTGTTTTACGTTGACATATTATGACATTTCTCTTGAGAGGAATGACTTTTCTCGAGTTTGAAAATAGCCTCCCTGGTATAAAGTATCGCATTGGGAGTATCAGAAGTATCTACTGTCTAGCATAGAAATTGGAAATCATAGAATACATTATTCTAGAAGATCCAGCGAAATATTTAAAATGTACTAGATTTAGATACTTTTGTCTTTTGTGGTACTAGCATTTATGAATGGTTGAAATGTACTGAATCTAGTACAATTGTACTAATAAACCCAACGCTGCTACTAAATAAATATACCGACGTGCCGAATCTAATGCAAAAGTTTTATTTTTATACCTGTTTCATCGAAAATATTTGTCAAGGTCAAGAACTCGTTTAGTTATTATCGCGTAGTAGCTAGGGGTGATGAATTTGTTAGGTATTTTATAACAGTTACCGTTTAGAACTAATAAAATTATTACGCCATCTGTTGAACAAAAGAACTATTAAATATGGAATATTGCTCCATCTGCTGAACAAAAGGATTCTTAATTTATGACACATAAATGACATCTATCAAAATTAGTTCATGTTACGAATATTGGGGGTGGTACTGTGGTCTTAAAACGAAAACCAGAATCTATTGTTTTACCTTCACGCGGTACATATTCAATTTAGTCTAGACTAGATTGATTTTATTTGGTTTTTGGTTCACAGTAGGTGAGTTCGGGCTGCGCACTCCAGAGTGGAGTGTAGTAATTAGGCGTAAACGGAGTGCGAATATGATTTTACTCCTTTAACTCTCGGAGTGAAATGTCAATTGTCAATGTGACATACCAGTGCTTAAAATTTAATCGTACTTGTCAGTAACGACCGTATAAGTTTCTTCCATATTAATGATATTCACGGGAACCAAAGAAAAATTTATTTACTAAAGAATCGCTCACAATTAACTTATTTTCAATTTAAATCACCTTATGCGCATGCCCGATCCACACTCCACTCCACCATCTCCGAACGGTCAAAGAGGAACTTTTATTTTAACTCCTTCCATACCCGAACGCCTTAGGTACTTTAGGAGTGAATATAGTGAAAAGAGTGCGTAGACCGAACTCACCAGTTAAGTAGTGATGTGGTTATTCGAATGGTAAATCATTCGAATATTCGATTTTTGTCATCATTCGACTATACCAAGATCATTCGAATCATTTGAAATGTCTGAAATTGTAATAAACGAACGATAGTGACTTCTGAGGAACCTATTTTAAAACTATTGGAGTACTCATTTCTCTCAAGATTTTCATGAGTAATGTCATATACCTCAACGTGGAAAGAGTATTTTTAAAATGACTGTTTCCCTCGGTTTTTGGGGAGAATTAAAATTCTCCTAAGAATTTTAATTCTCTCTGGTTTTCAAAACACTGTTTTCGCGCTGAAATATGACATTTCTCATAAAAATCTTGAGATAAATCATTTCGAGTTTGAAAATAGGTCTCCAGGTGACTTGTTTAAATATGGATTAGAGTAGGCCGCCAAAATTACTTATTTCTCTTAAATAGGATATACATCTGTAACGTGTGAAGGGAGTTACCCCCACGGCACTTAGGCCTCATTAGGCCCATTGTGCATCCTCCTAAGATGATAGGCACCTCCTAGCTCGTCAGCCAAACTACAGATTTCATGTAGTTGACAACGTCGCCAAGAGGTGCTTCTATTATATCGTCCGGTGTTAGCCGATACTCGCCGAACACAAATCTTCTAACAAATGAGAGCGTCGGGCAATCGTAAAGGATATGCTCGATGGTATTATCTTCTTGTTCGCACCCTCTGCAGAGTGCGGATTCTGACAGCCCCATGATATGGAGATGCTTCCGTACTTGGCAATGACCAGTCAGAATGCCTGTGACCAGACGCAGATTCTGTCTAGTCATAGTCAAGTATTTGTTTGCTGCAGTGTTGTCAGGATAACTTAAGAGCTCCCTGGCAACTCTGCAATTTCTTGTTTCATCCCATCTTTCCTTGAATTTCACAAGGCAATATTCTATAATAATTAGGTCTGTCACTACAGATTTTGTCAGGCCAATAAAAGGGCCAGGTCCAAAAAGTATTTGGTTGGCTGCTTTCTTGGCTAGTGAATCGGTAAGACGGTTACCTTTCGATGTGGCGAGACCTTTGATCCATCTTAAGGTGACCACATTGTTGATGGATACTTCGGCCAAAGCTTCATGACATTCTAGTACTAACCCTGAATAAATTCGTGGTCTGTTCAGGGTGAGTAGTGCTTGTCTGCTATCTGTATAGATGAGCATGTTCCTTCCAGTGATATTATTTCTGGTTATTTCTTTTGCTGCTATGAGAATCCCCGTTAGCTCTGTTTGAACTACAATGGCACTATTGCTCACAGCCCATTTTATGTTTAGGTTTAAGAATCTGGAGTATATTCTGCATCCTGAGCCTTGTTTTGTTTTAGAACTGTCGGTGTTGATATGAATCGTACCTGCCACTTCTGGCTGTTCTATTTGTTCTATTATAACTTTATATGGCTTATGGATATACATGCAACGTTTTTTAATCTGTCAAGTCGGGAAAAGAACCAATCACTCCAATCAGTACATCGCGCCGTAAGCCAAAACGGTTGCATGATAAATAAAACTAAATAACGTATGACGTTTCTAAATATGTGTACTACATTCTGATTGGATAGTTAACTGTCAATGTATTTTACTTCTGACACTTTGTTCTGGAGCTACCCAATCAGAATGCAGTAAACCATTGATGACGGCAAATAATAAATAATTCGAATGATATGATTCGAATACTCGATAAATTTGATTTTCAATCATCCGAGTATTCGATTATAATGATTATTCGATTATGTCCATCACTAGTTCACAGTCGGAGTCAACGGATGAAATACGTCGGCGTCACGAAGAATAGTGGGATTGCCAATGCCCTATTTTGTTTCCTTCCTCTTATTCTTCTCTCTATTGCTCTTTATAGTTTTGGCCTATACCCATAAAAAATTTAAGTCGAACAGGTGCATAATTATCAGTCTAGTTCGCGAGATGTTTTAGCCTAGTAGTTTAAGCATTTCTTTCTTGCATGTATCAATTTAGTGCACTCTTTGGTTAGTATATTTTCCGGTGCATTTTGATGCTCTTGCGCAGAATCATTCTCTGTGTATATACAGTTGACACCGTCTATAGAAAGGCATAAGATTTTGACCTTTATATGGATTAAATCTGTATTATTGTATTTAATATGATTTTTCTTCCTAATTCTTTTTAATATATTCTTTGTCACCAAAGGTGACTATTTTATGTACTTATTTTTATTTTTCTTATTTTCTTTTTTATTTCTTTCGTACTTTTATTGAAATTCCAAAATTCCAAAATATAAAAAAGGAGGTACTTTATTTATTTACATAATATTTACAAAAACTGCCATATTACAAAATTATATTAACCTATCGAACTTTATTCTCTTCAGCTTGGTTTTCTTCAGGATGAGCCTCCAACCATTCGAGAAGTTTCTGGATCGCTGGTGGGATTGGAGGAGGAGTGGGCAAAATGTCACCCTGTGGTTGGAACCCATCTTTGTTAGCGATATAGGTAACTACTACTTTCTTTCCATCGGGGTCTGTATATTCATAGGAACCACGGACTTCCATTTCTCCTTCATCGGGATTGGTGCCCTGTTTGAATTCACCTTGTTCTTGGGCTATAATATTGTTACCTGTTTCATAGCTGAAAAAATAAAATTATTTTTAAATGCGTTTCAAAGAAACTGCTAAAGAAAGGACAAAAATTGAGTTATAGAGGCTTACTTCCAGTTATATGAACCATCATGATTTACTCCTTCATTTTCGTATTTGAGTATGGGGATTTGTTCTTTGGATTGTTCAGCTGGAGGAGGTGCAGCAGAGGTGACTCCTGCTGCTATAGCTAATGCAAGGATAATCTGAAAATGTTAAATAATGTTAAATAAGTATTTCATTTATGTTAAATAATATTAGATAAATGAAACAATTAACTGATCATAAAAAAGTTAAGAAACAAAAACATGCTAATTATTATTTAAAGTCATCATTACAGTCCTCATTTGGTATATACCGCTATAAGAAAAATATTAAATTAAATAGAAAAACTAGAAACCATATGATAGGCATTACTATACCCACTAAATAAAGTTAGTCATGACTTCATATAAATAAAAATTTTCCTTGGTTTTATCGGTCAAATGTTTTTAATTTTATTGTTTTGGAAAGTACAAATTTTTCCATCTTCTGGTGCAGTCAATTAATAAAAGTTATAGGGACGAATACAAATAGTTTAAAAGTTTTTTAAAATAAAAGAACGCCATCTTTCTATTTCACATGTTTGAAGGTGTATTCGAAATAAAATCTTAAAATAAATAAAATAACTTGTTAAATTTTTAAAATTGAATTTATGTCAAAGTACCTATTACTTTCTTAAATGGCATATTGGTGACCAAATTTGATAAAATTTTGAAAGACCTTTTTTGGTGTAGGGCAATTTTTAAATTTTAATTTTAAATGTATCTCGGTAGCCTTTAAGTGATCATCTTCCTTTAACATATTAATCAATTAATGAGAGCTTTTTGGGATAGAGCGTTGTATGATTATTCTGTTTGAAAATAACCTCTACTATCTCAGTTTGTTTGATTCATGACTAATGAACACACTGTGTAATAATAAAATATTGCAGAAGGATACTGAATATTTTCTCAATGTCCAGTATAATACCAAGAAACCATCAAATAGTTACAATATGTGTACAAACTCTATCTTGCAAGAAAAATTATATTTTTTAATATCTGTTATTATCAAGTTTTATGACTCAGATCTCATAAAAATTTGATAAAACTTTCACACTGTATTAGCTAAACACCTTTTAAATCATACAAATGTTTTATGAGCTATAATTATTTTAAAATGACTTGAGATCGTTTTTTATTCACCGTGTATACAAGGTGCCACTAAATTTTTAATAAAGTAAACCCATGCTAAATTAACTTTTCACTTATAATACCACTAGTATCTAAATTATTTCCAGAAATTTTTTCGAACTGACGAATATTTTCTTAGCAAACATTTTTGTTTTAAAAGTAATTCATATAATAATAAAAGCACATTCTTGTAACAACATTTTAAATTTTATATCAAGAACACTATTTCAACTAAGATTTAGCATTTTCTCGAACAAACAAAATAATATTTTGATTATTACCCTACCATTGCTTTTATTATTAATATAAAGAATAGTTGTCCCATTAGTTATGGTTTAATCAAACTAACAATTATTTTTTAACAAAAAATTTAAAAATTTTAATTAAAATGTGATTATTAGAAATTATAATTTAACATTTTAAAATACTTTTTAAATTTGTTTTGTATATCCCTGATATTACACGTTTAAACTGTCATAAATATATATTAAACTACAAAAAAACAATTTTCTTGTAACTGTTTTTCACCAACACAGCACACAATAAAATCACTATAAAAATAACGTACCAATTTCATTTCTACAATTTTGGTTATTTGGTTAATATTGCACGACTGTGACTATTACCAATAAATTAAAGATATTTATATTTTTGGACAACTCCCTACCCTCTCGGGGCAGGGTCATCTTCAGCGGTATTGTTGTGTATCCGATAATTGTGGTCATACATATTTTATATGTGAACTTTAAGAAACGTTATGAAATTATTACTGCAAGCTATTTTGATGACGATTTTAGTTATTTTTAAGATATGTACATGTCCTACAAAATGCAATTGCAGAAGATCAAGGTTGTATGTACATGCGTATTTATGGCAGATACACATAATAAAACCGTATTTATAATGGATTTTTAATATGTGGTTTGATGGTTATAATCAGTTTAATTTTAAACTGTACAATATTTTAAGAATGTTGCGTCTGGAGCAGGGCCCGCTCCAAGGCCGGACAACCCGGAGATTTGTTCGGGGCGACAAATTTTAGGCATTTTCACTGTCATAATGTAACAAAATATTATAAATACTAAAATTAAAATAATAATAATAATAGCATGCCGTCTTTTATTTGTAAAAACATTTATTATCACTGTTTTTATAAGAAAGTTAAAATACTTGTTTTTCATCTATTAGTGCAGGGCATAGTGTCGCATTCGTTTGCAAAATTGTTTTAATTCGTAATTTTTTTTTAAATATCCGGAAGGCTTGCCTAATTATAAAAGTGTAAGATGGCACTCGATATTTGTTGATGTTATTGTTTAAACAACGAAAAATTAATTAAGGCAAAAAAAAGCATTTTTTGCAATGAATTATTTTTTTTATATTCTTTAGGACATTTCGAATAAAAAGTCCTTATGCCCATAATCGTATCTTCAACCCTTTAATTGTTAGGAATTTTTTAAAATCCAAAATTGACGAAAATTCTAATTTTCTTGAATTAAATAATATACCTTAAAATTTAAAATGCTATAATTTTAAATTTTTTACCGAATACTCAAACTATAATAAACAAAATACCCTAAATAAATTTTCAAAATTTTGTTTGTTGTTGTTTTTTTTACGTTATAACAATATGCTTCCTACGCGCGTGCACTTCCAACTCAATGTATAAGATGGGTAACAGAAAGCCCGATGACGCGCTGAATCAATTTTTTGTTGTTTTTCAGAGGTAATAAGTTTAAAAAAATTATTATTAACATTTTTCATAACACTTTGTTATATTTGCCGATTAATAGTTTTGTATCATGTGATTTTTTTTACTTTTTTAGATACTTTTGATAACTTTTTTATTTATTAAAGTTAACAGAAACATTTATTTTTATTCATGAAAAAATTATTGTCAGATACTGCCTGAGAAGTAAAATCTTCTTTAACCTTTTTTTTTTTTCAATACGATAAAAAGGCCAAATGCACTTGGCGTGACCCGTGAAAAATTTACAATGAACATAGTAGGCTTACTGGGGTTATAAAATTTTATGATTTCAAAAATATCCAAGCCTTTCTCCATTTAACAAAAATAAGGAAAAAAAAATTTCAATGCACGTCGGATGCTTTGAAATTTCATACTTTACGAGCTTCGTTTCAGACTTATATTTGGAGGAATTTAAATCAATTTCAATATGAACCTTTAGATTTCTCTGGTTTTGGTTATGTTTTCTGTGATAACCAAATAAAGCCATTACCTGAAGACTTAGCAAAACCGTGCAACTGTAAAAATATTGTGCAACGAAAGCTTGTTCGTGTCAAAAACTAAACATGACGTGTTATGCGGATGTTTAATTGAATGTTGCCAAAATCAATTTCATGTAAAATCTAGTTAGATATATAAACTATAATTTTATGTAAAAATTTTCTTAATAAATGAATATTACTATTAAATAATCAAAGTGGAAAAGAATTAACAACCATAGAAAAAATATATATTGCGTACTCTGTTTTAAAATAAAAACCAGGTGAGTCAACTATGCTGATCGTAACAGGTAGAAATTTTCCTTGAATTACGGCAGGTATGTTTGTCTTCTTTTATCTTATTGAAAAAAAAGTGAGAAAAATTTATTTTTTAGACAGCTCTTGGCAATGATTTTTTTTTGTGGATGGAACATTTCTATTAACTTTAAAAGTATCTAAACAAATAAAAAAAATCATATGATACAAAACTATTAATCGGTATATATAAAAAAGTGTTATGAAAAATGTTAATAATAATTTTTTTAAACTTAGTACCGCTGAAAAACAGCAAAAAATTGATTTAGCGCGTCATCGGGCTTTCTCTTACCCATCTTATACATTGAGTTGGAAGTGAGATAGAAGTACTTCTCTCTAAAAGTACACGCGCGTAGGAAGTATATTGTTATAACGTAAAAAAAAACAACAACAAACAAAATTTTGAAAGTTTATTTAGGTAATTTTGTTTATTATATTTTGAATATTCGGTAAAAAATTTAAAATTATAGCATTTTAAATTTTAAGGTATATTATTTAATTCAAGAAAATTAAAATTTTCGTCAATTTTGGATTTTAAAAAATTCATAACAATTAAAGGGTTGAAGATACGATGATGGGCGTCAGGACTTTTTTTATTCGAAATATCCTAAAGAATATAAAAAAAATAATTCATTGCAAAAAGTGCATTTTTTCTGGCTTAATTAATGTTTCGTTGTTTAAACAATAAAATCAACAAATATCGAGTGTCATCTTACACTTTTATAATTAGGCAAGCCTTCCGGATATTTAAAAAAAAAATTACGAATTAAAACAATTTTGCAAACGAATGCGCCAGTATGCTCTGGTCTATATATAGTTGTAAAGAAATAGGTATTTACAAAAAAATAATTATTCAATAATAATTATTAAATAAGAAACACGGGTGTTATTTACACTATCTAATATAACCGCGTATCGCATATACAGGGTGTCTGTAAAAGGTCTTTACAAAAACATACCACATATTCCTTAGACCAAAATAAGTCGATTTAAGTAAAATTACCTTAGTACAAAGTTGCTTCGTTTGGGCTCCAGAGGGCCTTGAAGTTACAATTTTTAAATCGTTTTTCCCATATAAATTTAAAATGGCATATGCGATTTTGCTGAAATTTGGTATATTGGTAGAGTTTTATGTGGCAAAAAAAATGGTATTAAAATTTTGTCCGATAATAATACATAGGCGTAGAACTTGATTTTTTAAATAACTGCACCTTTAAAAATTCTACGTCAATGGATGAAAAGGAGTTTGAGTATGAAATTTAGATTGCGCAACTCATTTACTTTAAAAAAGATACTCTTGATAAGACTCGATTACTCTCATGGTTTTCACTAAATTTCTGTTTTCATAATTAAGAGTGTATAGGTTTCACAAAAATATTTATTTACAACATAATCAAAATAGAGATTTTACAAAAATTGTTCAAAATGTTCACCATTTTCACGCATACAAAGATTTATACGTCGAAGAAAATTAAAATGTATCCTTTCCATAACTTCTTCATCACCTCTAAGATTGTTTATTGCATCTTGAATACGTTGCCAGAGTTGTTCCTCATTTTCTACAGGTTCCCTGTAAACTGTGGATTTCAGATGTCCCCATAAAAAGTAATCCATCGGTGTTAGGTCTGGGGAACGTGGTGGCCAGTTTACAGGTGCGTCATTACCTTTGCCTATCCCTTTGTTTAAAGAAAAATGTGGTAGAGCTCCATCTTGCATAAACCACATAACTCTCCGAAGTTGGAGAGGTAAATCTTCTAACAATTCTGGCAACGTATTTTGTAGAAAATTCAAATAATTTTCTCTAGTTAATCTTCGTGGAAGTATGACAGGGCCAACAATGAAATTACCAATTATTCCAGCCCACACATTAATTTTGAATTCGTGCTGAAAAAGGTTTACCTTTATTGCATGCGGATTTTCAACAGCATAAACATGTTTATTATGGGTACTAGTTATACCTCTTCTTGTAAAACCCGCTTCATCTGTAAAGAGAACCTTCTTGACAAAGTTTGGATCTCTTTCTCTTTGCATATTAACAAATCGACAAAAACCCAAACGAATTTGAGGATCATGGACTAATAATTCTTGTACTGGCTTCTTATGGTATGGATATAGCAATTGTTCTCTAAGCACTTTATGAACGACATCTTTAGTTACTCCTAGTTCCCTTCCAATTCGTCTGGTGCTTAATTCTGGATCTCCTTCAATACGTTCTAAAATGTCTTCATCAACTTCAAGAATCCTTACAAAACGTTCTCTTCCATTATCATTAGTGTTGGGAGCAAAGGAACCGGTCTCCCGAAGACGTCTCTCAACAGCAGCAAAAGTTGGGTGGCTAGGTACACGACGATTTGGAAACCTTTCAGAGTACACTCTCTCGAGCATTTCCCTCACAAAATCCTAATGTCAGTAACATATCAGTATATTCTGCATTGGTATATTGTACAGCCATATTAATAAACCACGCATTTGTTTTTTTAATTATTGAGTCAGATAGAACACTTTCAATCGTTAACAAGAGATTAGGTGTTAAAACTTGACCATATTTTTATTTAGATGAAGATATGAAAACCAACAATAAATGTTTTTGTATACGTATTGCAGGCAAATAATTAATATTCCTTAAAAAAATCGTACATGGCAATTTTTTAAAAGTCTCGATTAGAGGTATTGAAGAAGATATGAAAAAAGTACATTTTTATGTTTTTCATCGTATAAAATTTTGTCCGATAATAATACATAGGCGTAGAACTTGATTTTTTAAATAATTGCACCTTTAAAAATTCTACGCCAAAGGCAGAAAAGGGGTTTGAGTATGAAATTTGGATTGGGTATTCATTTACTACAAAAGAGTACCCTTGATAACACTCGATTTACTCTCATGGTTTTGACAAAGTTTGTATCTTAATAAGGTATTGTTAATGTTCTAAAATTACTAAAATGCAAATTTCGTCAAAACTATGAGAGTAATCGAGTCTTATCAAGAGTACCTTTTTTAAAGTAAATGAGTTGCGCAATCTAAATTTCATACTCAAACTCCTTTTGTTCCATTGGCGTAGAATTTTTAAAAGTGCAATTATTTAAAAAATCAAGTTCTACGCCTATGTATTATTATCGGACAAAATTTTAATACCATTTTTTTTGCCACATAAAACTCTACCCATGTACCAAATTTCAGCAAAATCGC